ACACACACACACACACACACACACACACACACACACACACACACACAATCTCTCTCTCTCTCTCTCTCTCTCTCTCGCTCGCGACTGATTTATCGCCGCACTCAAACCCTTTCGCATTCGATCCGGTCGAACTTTCAGAAACGGGATTTCGGAGATGAGCATTTACATGCGCGTTTGTTTTCGTCAATTTTATCGTTAGTCGACAATGGCGGCGCTGCTGACGGCGGATTTAACTACCGACGCGCGAAAAATATATGGCCGCCTATTCTATTCTTCTCGCGCCTCCTTGCGTATGTACATATACACAAAGCTTGTTGGAAATATACGTCGCAGTGCGGTTGGTGGCGCTGTGGTATGGCTATGGCGGCGGGGGCAGTGGGTAGGAGGGGGGGGCTTTCGATCTGCTTTCAGTCTCGCTGCAACGGCAAGAGAGCGGGGTCGTTCCCGCGAGAGTGTCTAGTTTTACGGCGATAAGTGAAAATAATGCAAATAGAATCTTCGCCGGTCGAAAGTTGCCCTCGGTGGGTTGGTGGAGTGGTGGGGGGAGTCGCGTGTGAGTGTATGCGTGTGAGTGTGTGCGTGCGTGCGTGCGTGCGTGCATGCATGCGTGCGTGCGTGCGTGCGTGCGTGCGTGCGTGCGTGTGTTCGTGCGTGCGTGTGTGTGTGTGTGTGTGTGTGTGTGTGTGTGCGCGCGCGTGTGTGTGTGCGTGCGTGTATGTGTGTGTGTGTGTGCGTGTGTGTGTGAGTTAGAACTAATTTCACGGGGTTGAAGATGGAAGAAGCAGACAGCCACGTAAACGCCACAGTCACCTATACAGTAACATATATAGCAATAGTATCTGTACGCAACATAACGAGTATAGTACGGGCCCGTGCGATCATATATATGTGCCACGCACACACGCATGCAGATGGTTGGTTCGGTCAGCTATTGCTGTTAGTGTTCCATCGATGAGAAGAAACCCAGTACTCATAGCACACGCACACTGACAATGTGGATGGCTTATGCGCACCCGTTGTGCCAATAGTGCAACCTAGCAATATCTGACCACTGTTACAATGTTCGGCGAATTCGTCGAAAAGGCGCAATGAAGTTTGAAAGTCGCGATCGCGGATTCAGTCGTAAATTAGCAGCTCATCGTCGCGTAATCGCGTTCATTCATATGAGCAGCTTCGATGACAGTAAGGTGTATTTCGCGATTGTGCGCTCGAGAAACAACATTATCTGCCGTAGTGTGTTTGCGATTTATCAAGTGTTACGCGATAGAAATTTTCCTCGATAGTTGCGCCATACATTGAACGAGATTGCAACTCGCGCGAACGCGACCACGGCAATCAGTATCAGTAATCCCGACGGAGGTACGGTCATGCTAGCTACATGCGCTTTTGTTTTTAGCTAGTCGGCAACCACGCATGTCGTATATATATATATATATATATATATATATATATATATATATATATATTCGTATATGTGTATCGCAAGAGTAAGAATATGTAGAAAACAACGATGACTCTCGCAGAACAAGTTAAATGCACAGATGCACGGATACGACTATTGACGTCAGCTTTACCAAACTACGCTCGATGACTTAAAGGTAGTCGTGGGCTGCAGCTCTGTAGAGCTTCCTGCGTCTGCATTTCGCATTACCCACTTTGGGAGCGTTGACTAGATCTCTGCTGATATGTTTGATTCGCGGGAGATGCGCAGACGAAAATGTGCTTCCGCCATGATTATCCATCCCGGCTATCCGTCCTCGACGGCACACACGCACGCACGCATGCACAGTCACGCACGCACGCGCGCACTCACGCACGCACGCACACAAGCGCGCGCTGCGCCACTGACTGACGTCACCACCTGTCATGGCGGCTCGCGCTGACGTCACACGTCGAGCACGTGATTCAGATAGGAGATGTAGCAGATGGCGAGTCTCAGTATCTCGATCTTCGACAGCTTCTTGTCCGGCGGCAGCGTCGGCAGCAGCTTGCGCAGTTCGGCGAAGGCGACGTTGAACGCCTCGACGCGGACGCGCTCTCGCGTCGCGTGCGCCGTCCGATACTTCTGAGTCGCGCGTCTGCGTCGGCGACGCTCCTCGCGCGACAGCTGCGACAGCGAGCGCTGACGCTCGTCGCGATTCTCGATGCCCTCGCTGTCGGTGGACATGTGATAGCAGTTGGACGAGGAAGGCATGGCCGGCCCGTATCCCTCCACACTTACGAGGAGCAGTCTCCGCTGTGTGGTGGTGTGCCTGTGTGTGTGTTAGAGAGAAAATCCCTTCACAGTTACGAGTAGCAATCTCTGCTGTGTGGTGGTGTACCTGTGTGGGTGTGAGAGAATCCCACCACAGTTACGAGGAGCAGTCTTTGCTGTGTGGCGGTGTACCTGCGAGAAAGAGAGAGAGACATTTAGTTTTGAGTTTATTTGTCTCGGTAATACACAAATAAAAATAAAAGCGTACATTTTGAATAGTCACACATCGCATATCGTTATCAGCCTTATAGTATTATTTTCGCTACTACTGCTAACAATAATACTCGTAAGTACAATTATTATTAGTACTAATAATATAATCGTATACTTTGTTCTCGTTATCATTATTCGGAAGTGTTCGTATATTATAGATTAAATCTGATGTAAAATTCTATTTGTTTCATCCACGAATGTGATTCTAATGAAGCGATGTTTGTGGTTTGCTCTTGCATTTTGCATATTGTTGATATTTTACACGGTTCGTGTGTCTTTTCGCGCTTGTCAAGTCAATGGGAATTTATCAATATGCTGCTTTGATTATAATTACCCCAGGTGACTATGTTAATTATAAACTAAGTGTAGAATAATATATAGCTATAGAATAGGTATAAAAAAGGGATTTTGATATACGTTGCTATAGTAATTGCATAAAATATTTGGGCAATGTTGTAAACAGAAATAAACATTTCTGGTTACACAATAGAAATGCCTTATTTATCTTTAACATTAAAATGTACAAGTTGAGTAATTTGAAACAACTACCCAAAAAAGCATTCCTCGAAACCGAAATACTTGTTATAAACGTTTTGAATTTGTTTAAACTATAATATTGTACTATCTCAATATGGCAACCAATTAAAACAACGTTGTGAAAAAGAAAGCCCAAGCGAACTATTTAGGATATATTTACTATATCTCCGACTCTCTCTTTCTCTCTCGCTCTTTCTTTCTCTCTCTCTCTCTCTCTCTCTCTCTCTCTCTCTCTCTCTCTCTCTCTCTCTCTCTCTCTCTCTCGCTCGCTCTCTGTCATCATCTCTTTCTCTCGTCGGCTTGTCTTAGTTACGGGAGATCTTGAGATACCGTGCCGGCCATCGTGGGATTAGGCGTGTTAGCTGATTTGCACTAATTGGCACTTCCTGACATTGCTAAACCTCGGACGCCCCCAATTATATGCGCGCGTGGTGCTTAGTATATCTACAAGCGAATGCTGCTCATTTCGGGCACGCGCGCGCACGCGTGTATATAGTGTTACACGTGATCTCCGCACACTCAAAACAAATCCGCTCAGCACCTGCACTGTTACCGGTTCCCCACCGCACGGGGTCAGCCCACCGCGGCGTAAATATAAATATATATATATATATATATATAATTATTTATGTATTTATTCATTTATTTATTTATCTACTATTATGCCCATCCATGCATGCTCAATCCAACGGACACTCGTTACAAATATTTAAGATAGATTTGCGGTTATACTTTCACGTTTATACACGAAGAGTTTCCTTCCTACACCTGACGCTTCCTATCTCATGACGCGCATTAAACGTAAATTATAAATTGATTTCCCGCTAATTTAGCGACGTTCGGGGCTAAAATAGTCCTGTAAGATATCATGTTTAATACGATGTGTGTCCAAGGTTATGCCAGCTCACTGCAGCGAGACATTTCCTTCGATGGGTGAGGGGTTGAGGTTTATAAGCATCTTTGTATAGGATGACATTTAATCAGGTGGGGGCCATGCTTGGTTCACACGATATGCATCACAATGAGAGGTCGAGGCAAGGATATAAACAGCGAATGCTACATGAGGTAGCATGTAATACGTAGAGAATCAATCTTAAAATAGTCTTACACGGGATGATATATGTTTAATTATATGGGACCAGGGTTAAAACAGCCTTGAACGGAATGAGTTATTTAATTTTGTTGAGCCTGCGGTTGAAACTATCATATCTCAAATAAATCGAAAAATTAATACATTTAGACAAATTTTATCTCACCTGCCAGCATACACATTGCTGACTACTTCAGCATGAAAATCATTACGAGATTCTGCTGTTATAGGCGATATAACAGTAAATGAACAGCAAATGTTCCCCTGCAATCTTGAGACTCGCGATAATGGGATTTTCAAACGCTCCTCCACAACAAGTGCACGTAGTTACGTGACGCAAATATTTATAGAGTGGTACCTGTCTCGACATGTAGACAAAAGAAAGACAGACATGTAGACAACATGTAGACAAAAGTGTAGACAAAAGTGTAAAGACATAGTGTAAAGACAGAGTACCGGTCGATGGCATCTCACGAGATCGAAAATCAAGCGCTAGTTTTGTTGATACATGTAAACAAATCTAAACATGTAATGCAGATCGTTGCACATATTGGTGAAACGAATGATGTGCGAGTGTTCTATGACATGTTAGTCTTACTGTACACATTTGGTGTTACGCAAATAGTACCTGTAAGTATCAGAACGGTCGAGAAAATATGAAAACGGTTGGAGAAAACATGAGAAATCATCGCTTTAAACAGCCAGGGCATGCTACATATTTAATTATACAGGTCCAGATTTAAAACAGTCTTGTATTGCGATATATATATATATATTTATTTATTTATTTATTTATTATTTAATTATGTAGGTACAGAGTTAAAATAGTCTTGTATTAGAATATATAATATAATTATATTGTTTCAGAGTTAATACAGTCTTGCATTGGAATAAGATATATTTCAT